CATGTACCTCACTTCAAGCATTTATGACAACATGAGTGGAATGATAATTTCTCTAGTTATGACAAAGACACCATCAACTCATTGCCTGTTACAAAACCCAATACACATTATCCAACAAAAAATAACATGTTTGTTTTGGGGTTTAATAGGGTGCAGGCTTTGGATCAGATCATTGCATGTCACTATGGCGATAACCTGTGAACTCTACACACCTGATGTGCTAATATGTAAATATTATGTCCCACTTCTCTTGGTGATGCAGGTCCATCATCTTCATCATCATCAGGTACCTCATCTTCTTCCTCATCCTCCAACTCTTCCTGTAAAAATGCTTGTTTGATAACGTCCACCTGTTAAACAGAAATATCATTTGCATAACATTTAAATGAAAATGACACAGTTCCTGTTGGTACTTTTTGGGTTAAACACCAAACATCTCAAAGAAAAAGGTGGATTGTGAGAAAGGAATTACTTTCATGCAGATGAAATTTAGTAACAACCTACTGTAACGTGTCACATTAAGTCAGTGTGGAGATTTATTGGCATTTTTCCTTACTATTGTAGTTAATTTCATAAGGTAATGAAATAATAATTGTGCATATGTAAGTGATTATATCTCATCTTTGAACCAACTTTAAACAAAATCTGTGTACCTTACATTCCAGAAATGATTAAGAACAACAATAACATGGCAACCAGTCGGCCATTTTGATTAAAGAAATATGTCAATCAAGAGTGATATCAATTCTGAGATTATCTGCCTAGGTACACATGAGAAATTACTAGTGACATCTTCAAATGTTGTTTGTTTGGACTAAAATGGTAACCTTGAGTCAAAGGTTGACAAAACTTAAAACAATTCAAAGTCTCCCAATATGATTGTTTTTGTACCAACTTTGACAAAATCGGTTCAGGCATACTCAAAAAATTATGTCAGTTGGACAGACAGGCGGGTGGAATCCAAATTCTTTTGGAACAACATTCAAGATGCTCTGATTGCCCCAAAGCCACAATTAGTAAGTTTTTGGAAATGTGTAAAAATTTAATAATTATGGCATGATACTGGAATGTGGAACATAAATGCATTTTGGCATGTCACTGTCACTTTCACTGTCACAGTCACCGTCACCGTCATAATTTTGGCGCATTTCATTTTTTGTTTCTATAGATATTTTAAAAATTCTACTAAACACACTTCCATAAAATGTAGAAAAAAAACATGCTTACCAGCTGTTTAGGGCTCAAATTAAAGAGAATTCTTTCTGCATTTTCACTATCATGTCTACTTTCCATGATAGCTAGTAGTAACTTAGAAGCATTATTCTACAACAAAGTAAAATAAAACAATGATCAATAGCCTAGCTTACATTAAGGACTTTTAAAAAACAGTTGAGAAACAAATCAAATGGGTTCTCAATAAAAACATTATAACAAAATAGAGAAATATGCAGATAAATAAAACCTAAAAGCTCTGGTCATTTCTCATTACATACCTTAAGTTCCAATACCAGATCCATCCTCTGTTTACCCAGTGGATTAATATCGTTTAATATAAGTGCTATTATAATATCAATACCATTTGATTCATGAGTAGCAATGCAATTCTGAGAACATAAACAGAAAATGTTTTGGCAATTTTTTTTTTTTTAATTGAATGCATGATATAGTGTAAATGAAGAGAACATCTACAATGGATTTTTGAATTGAGTTTCAGTATCCATGAACAGAGTAAATAATAGAACCCCTGACACCATGAATATTAACCAGCTCCATGAGTAAGTGATATCAGATAATTACCTTTTTATCACGATGGAGATATCATGATTTTACTAATGATATGATAAATTATACTAATTAAGAGTGATGTTTGAAGCGTATTAACAATTATATGGTTCTCAAAAAATATTACCCTTCTTAGTGATATTTGTTCAAAACAAGTCATTGTTAATGACACAGTCCCCGTCCAAAATTTTGTGATCTGACATATCAATTTGATGCTGATGAAGTCATTGAGATTAGATTGAAACTATTAATAGAAGATGGATTTGTAAAAAAAATACGATTTAGTGCTTTTACACGAGAATTGGACATTGGGCAGTCATATTGAATCAAATTACAAAAATAATGTTCATGTTGATGTATCTATTGGTATACTGTCTTTGTACAAAATTTAAACAGAAATGTTCATTGCATTCATGGGAAAGTACACATGGGTATCATGAAAAACAAAATGGCCACCAGTCAGCCATATTAGTTTGAATCACAGAAAAATATGACATGCAACTATAACCCAATATGTATGATCATCATACCAATTTTGATCCAAATTGGCCTAGTCATCTTTGAGAAACAGCTCCGGACATGTAAAAACTGACGATTTAATGCTTTTACAGAAAATTTGGGCGTCGGTCAGCCATATTGAATCGAATAACAAAAATAATGATGGTGTAGTTGTATCTTTTGGTATACTATCTTTGTACAAAATTTAAACAGAAACGTTCATTGCATTCAAGATAACGTAGCATGGGTACTATGAAAAACAAGATGGCCGCCAGTCGGTCATATTTGTTTGAATCGCGAAAAAAAAATGACATGCACCTATAACCCAATATGTATGATCAACATATCAACTTTGATCTAAATTGGCCTAGTCATCTTTGTGAAACAGCTCTGGACATGTAAAAAATGATGATTTAACAGGAAATCAGCTTTTACAGGAAATTTGGGTGCAGGTCAGCCATATTGAATCGAATCACAAAAATAATGTTGGTACAAATGTATCCCTTGGTATACTATCTTTACAAAATTTAAAAAGAAACATTCATTGCATTCAAGAGAAAGTAGGATGGGTACCATGAAAAACAAAATGGCCGCCAGTCGGCCATTTTTGCTCCGATCATAAAGTAACTTGACGCGCATATGTAAGACATTATGTATTGTCTTCATGTAAAGTTGGAATGAAATCCATCAATGGGTGTCCGAGATATAGCTCTGGACGTATGTATGGATGTACGGACGGATGGAACAAACCCAAATTAATAGTCCCCGTTTTCGGACTTCGTTTTTGGGGACTAATAAAATTTTAGTCGTCATTATTGCAAGTTATTGTCATTGCACTATTAAAGTATTGATCATATTGTAATCCTTGTAA